GGAGAACGGACGAAAATCGGTGCGCGCGCAGGATGTCATCCATAAAATTAAAAAAGTGTGGCCTAAGAATAAGAACTAGAAGAGCACTCAGAGAGCGCAGACCTCCGCCAAGGCAGCAAAGTCTCCATCCAATGCAGTTTCACCACTGAATTTTCGATATATTTATTATTGATTGATTATTGATCCGGATCACCACCAAAAGCTAAACATCTGTTCCTTGGCCCACTTCTGACAGTTACTGAAAATTTCATCAAAATCGGTCCATTCTTTTTTTAGTTATGTTGATGACAGACAGACAGACAGACAGACAGACAAACAGACAGACAAACAAACAAACAGGGGTAAAAACATAACCTCCTTGGCGGAGGTAATAAAGAAATAAATTTTGAGAAATGGAAATCTTATTTGTGAACAATCATATTTCGACTGTCGTGTACGATATCATAATACTTGGCAATTTACCACGAATTTCAGGATCTTTGGTGACGTCGCACTTTATAAATGTGACGTTTTCCTCGCCATGTTGAGTCGCCAGTTTATTCAAGGCCACAGATCCATTTGTTTCATCGATGTCTGCTATTGTGACCTAGGACAGAGATATGAAACACTGTTTACTTGACTTAATTGGCCTCTTTTCAGGACAAATATGTGTGTATGTATGCGTTCAGCATAATATTCTCTGCCATAATTCATGTTCAACATATCATGAAGTGTAGGCCCCTATTTCATCTATGCGTTTTGTTAAGAAAGGAAAATTGTCAGTATGAACAGATACACGCACCTGCATACCAGTATTTGGTATCTGATTAGACATACGGACTTTTTCATTGTAGCGTAGTTTTAGACAAATTCGCGTGTTCTTAGCTGCATTATACCAGGAGCTTCCCTGATCTATATGGATGGATCATTGAAAATTAGTATTCATACCTGCTGTATTTTCCCCATTTTTATAATGCAACGTTTGTAGTTGACTATATTCCCTCAAAACGAACAACCTATCCTAGAAACTTAATCAACCTCCCTGATTTCTATCCAATCAGAATTATAACCAGTGCTCTGCGCGTCTTAACGTTCTCTTGTAAGATTTACGTAGTGAGACAATCTTCAGCATTTGTCCAATGATTTTAGCCTTTAATTTGGTCGTCTGCAAAATGACTATTTGAATACAACTAGTTCAAGTTTTGTGAAAAAGACGATCCAATTGACGCTCAACGATATATCAAAAGTAGTAGGGGGCCTACAATTACAGTTTTAGGGGTAATATGGGCAAACGTACTTGTGGAAAAAAATGAACGTGGGCTTTAATTTATCAAAAGTTGTACACTAACGGTTTATTTGGAATAATAAGAGAAAACGTTCTTGTGGAAAAAAAGAGCGTGCACAGGCTTTACAAAACCCGTCTTGGTAGTAAAGCGACACCAGGTGAACTTTATTTTCCCCAATTTTCGTGATTTGGTAAATAACACTGGAAGGATAAAGCTGCATCACGCAAGACAGATGAGTGTCCCTTGTCTTTGTTTGCACTGCACGGGTGGTTTGCATTTGTTAACATTTAGGATGACATTTCCGAGGCTGAGCTTGCACGAATTTAGCGTCACCTTACGTGACAACTTGGTCTATTTTTATTACAAACACGAACTTATGACCTACATGTACGTATTCGAGAAAGGTTGTTTATTGTGCGTGTCGTTTGTTAATTACCTTGTAATGACGTACCGCATGTACCTTTACTCTATAAGGTCTCCTATAAAAACTTGGTTGTGATACCTATGGATTATCGTACCTATTACAACTACATTATTATAATTATAACTCTACCTTAGCCCCGTGTTGCAGCAGAAGTTCGGCTGTAGCATATCCAATTCCTGATGCTCCACCAGTAATAAAAGCCACCTTGTCTTTAAGATTCATCTGTAGTCGGCACGTGAAAAAAATCAACGAAATTAAGCGTGTTATTCAGGACACATTACACATTATCTCTTTGGAGTGGATTGTCAATATTTTTTCTTACTATTCCGTTATAATTTCCCAATTATCTGGCTCCATTTTTCATCTCTTTTAGATACTCACTTCTGCACACTGCGTACAACACTTGTATTAAACTCTTGAAGAATATTTTTCATATATTGTTGGTTATACAAAACGTATATTTATACATCCGAGTCACTTAAAAAACAAACCGTTTTATCAAATACCAGTATCACAGATGGCGAGATTAACAAAAAGCTATGATAACCGAATTGCAATTCATATGCCGGCTGTACCAGTACCACTGAGCTTGTATGAATTATTTTCAAACCTGTTTACAGTACATTCATCATTGTCTCGTTAACAAAAGATTTTGCCCTGATACCCGTGTTTTACAACAATGACAAGCTTTTTTTCTACGCTTTTAACAAGTTTTTACTTCAATTTTTTACAATGCACAAGGACACGACTCGATGTATCAACAAAATGCAGCATTTAGCTGTTATGAATCTGTGAGGACAGTTATATTGTATGTGTGACGCTGTCCTGTTTAAGACAGCCACTAAAATTGGGAAACTGTGCATCTTTATTTTATCCAACTCATTTAAAGACAAACACGCTCTTGTCAAAAATGATGGGATGTTTTCTAAGTTAGAGACATAAAAAATTTATTTCAAAGTTCTCCATGGTGGTTGCCATAAAACCAATAAACAGTTTTCAAGTTACGAAAGTGGACTCAAATCCTTGAATCATGCAACATGGTTGGAATTGTGTAACCTGTATAACAGAACTTTTTGTTTGCGGTTGAAAATATTTTTTGGATATGTGAAGGGCGCCAATGACGTTAGCCCAAAAGAAACTTGATAACCTTTGTGGGTGAAGTGCTTTGCACGTAAACAAAAATTCAACTAAGGTTTTTGTTTGGCTTTTTTTTTTATTAACAAACCCATGAATCAATTTCATGCACATAGTCCTAATAATCTGTTTGTATCACTGACCAAAGCCTGCTGTGTATACGTATTGCTTTCACTTTATCAGTGGATACGTTTTCTCGCCTCCTTCTGTGTGTCAGTTGTTTTGATTCAGGTTCATCGTTTGAGATTAGCTCTGTCTGAAAAATACGGGTGTTCTGGGGGATCGATGAACGCCACGCCTTTGCTGGTGATAAGCATCGCAGCGCCATTTTTGGTCTCGTCTGCTAGAAGCTTGATGATATTGTCCGCGATGTATGAAACCCTGTAATAAGCATTTGGATCTTTGTAAAATATCGTTTATGATACAGATGAAATTTCTTGGGATTTTAATTCCAGACACGTGACCCAGCCAGGGCACTTAATGTCTTGCCTGGAATTTCCCCAGATGTGTTTTACCAATACAAACGAACCAATTAACGTTTACTAAATCTCTCTAGTTTGAACCGTCAAATTTAACATTGATCGGCCACAAACATGTAAGTTCCAAGTGCTCTGCCCATTGAATATATAGCAAAATAGTAGGTCTGATGACAACTACAACCTTACATTAACTTTTGCGAGTCTTCCCACAAAACTAAGGCTTACAATAAACTTAACCACAAGCACTTAACACCCCTCATTTTTATTTTATATTCAGAAATTAGGATGTTTCATGAATATGCCATCTTAAATTAAATAGACAAATCATACTATTATAATTTTCAGTTCACATTCATTCAAATAGTAAAAAATACAATTGCCCAAATAAAAACCATTAAAAAACCATACTTGATCATGCCGTCCACATTTTCTGAGACGTAGTTAGACAGCGCCTGCGCGTGATGAATCCCCCTTCTGTTGAGGCTGTCTACAGATTCCAGGCTCCGCACCATTGGCGTGTCAGTGAATTCTGGGCACACGCAGTTAAAACGAACGCCATGGACATTTATATCGGCCGCCATACTGTTCTGGTAAAGGGAATAAATATAATGATGTATTTAGTTTTTTAATTGCAGATACAGTATGACGAAGATGTTCCATTAACACGTTTTGCTGAAGTACGTTCGACGGTGTGGCGAACATACTAATATTAGTGTGCCTCATAACTTGACGACATTGGGCAAATTATTATTAGAGAGGGAGGATTACGTTGATACTACCAGTAGCAGAACGTTTTTAAAATATATACGACTTTATGCAATATGGTCCCGCCAAACACATACTTAAACCATACATTTCTGTGTCAATGTGTTATATCTTTAAATCGGTATTGAAAAATTCGGTCGCCCCAGTGGAGTTACTTATACTGAGGCAGAACTGTTTCATACCGCCATTGAGCGTGTGTATCCCACGATGCCATGTTTGGTCGCAGCGTATGCGGGGAGGCATAATGACGGTTTTAATCCTGAAATTAAACTTCATAACTGTTTTGATATAATTTTATACATTTGTTAATTCACGAAGAAGATTTCACCTAAAAGACAAGAGGGCGAACATAGTTGCACAAAAAATTATTATTTCATGTAAGTTTGAATATTTCATTTGTAGCTCTAAATTATCTCTTAACTCCTACCAAATACCTGATATAGAAGACATATTTAGTATAACGCCACCATTGCCACCTTGATCTTTGCGAAGGTATTTCATCCCTAGCATAGTACCGGTTATGGCTGCTGTCTGGTAGAGAATGACATCCATATTATTGTGGAGTAATATAGGAAAGGGAGTGATACGGGAGTGACAGCGGACCAAGAGTAGTTCAGACGTCTGTGTTACTGTGCACTATCCCTTCGTTTGAAAGAACTGTCACCTGTACTTTATCTGTGGTTGAGAGGTTATAGAGGAAAAGCAAGAAAAGATCTTCATACGAGTTAATGATAAATATATATGTAAATAATTGGTACAGCAAAACCATATGATTTATTAACATCAAAACCGACAAGATTATATACAGTAGATTCAATTTCAAAGCAAATGTGAAGAATTTTCCAAGGTTTAGTCTAATCAAGATATCTTACCAGATTGACACTTATCATCAGTTTGTAATTACTTTCATTTAAGATACCAGCGTTGTTCATTATAACATCTAAACGTCCATATTTGGCAATAGTCTGCTTGAAGGCTTCTGAAAATAATCGGAAAACTTTTATCAGTTGACAACATTGAAAAAAGTTAATTTTTTCTATTTGAAAGACTAAAGAAAAATCGTGAATTTTTTAATTTAGAAGAAATATCACCAAAAAAAATTAAGAGTAGTTACATATTTTCAGAATTTTTCTCCCAAATAAACTACCTTAAGAAACTTATATCGATATGAACCCAATATGACATTTATTTGACTCTATTGCAACTGATTTTGTCCCCTTTCGTCTTCTAAAATTACCTTCAATATCACCATCTTCAGTGACGTCACATTTTACAAATATGACGTTTGCCTCCCCATATTTCACTGCCAGATTTGATACGGCAGTCCTCCCAGCCTCCGAGTTTACGTCTATTACAGCAACCTAGAATGTGAATAGATTTTATACAGTTGCAGGCTGGAAAAGTG